GTGTGTGTGTGCTGTGTGTGTGTACTGTGTGTGTGTGTGCGTGCTGTGTGTGTGTGCTGTGTGTGCGTGTGTGTGCGTGCTGTGTGTGTGCTGTGTGTGTGTGCTGTGTGTGTGTACTGTGTGTGTGTGTGCGTGCTGTGTGTGTGTGCTGTGTGTGCGTGTGTGTGCGTGCTGTGTGTGTGCTGTGTGTGTGCGTGCTGTGTGTGTGCTGTGTGTGCTGTGTGTGCGTGCTGTGTGTGTCTGTGTGTGTGTGTGTGCTGTGTGTGTGCTGTGTGTGTGTGCTGTGTGTGTCTGTGTGTGTGTGTGCACCCTGTGATGGACTGGAATCCCTATACAGCCAAGATCAGGCTCCAGATTCCTCCCCCACCCCACACTGCATAGGGATGTGTTGTACTGCAGTAAATATTACATCTACATGAAAGAGCCAAAGATAATGGAGGAGAGGAAACAATACCTGAGAAAGATAGAAGCTCTGGGGGTGGGGGTTAACCCCCCCAGCCACCCTGAATTGGGCAAGGAGCATGAACATACTAACCATATAGTAGGCAGATATATACGTGCAGAACACACATGCTGTACTCTGGTTGGGGCTAGGGGGTGCACTAGGGGGTGCACTAGGGGGTGCACTAGGGGGTGCACTAGGGGGTGCACTAGGAGGCGCACTAGGGGCAGGGGGACTTTACAGGGACCCCTGAATGCATAAAGCAATTATTTTTAATGGATTGGGGGGGGGGGAGGTGACATTCTGTTAGGGGGCCCAGAATTTCTAGCTACACCCCAGGTTGGGGCATGACACTCATGCACCCCCTGACGCAGGCGTCGGACCAAGTCGCCGTGAGCTTATGGCCATGTGACAGGAAACCAGAGCAGCCAGGGAGGTGGTGGTGGTTGGGGGGGGGGGGTGTCTCTCAAATGCAGCACAGGGGCCTGCATGCTAAGCCAAGAGCCTCAAGACAAGTCTCTGTGCCGTTACACAGCCGTGGAAGGACGGCCGTCACATTTAAATCCATTTAGTAGATGGTAATGTGAAAAGCATACAGAAGTTCCAAAAAGAGCCCTAGCAATGAGTCAGGCAGCCAACGTGCCCGGTAAGGATGGAGCTCTGCAGTTTTACTGTAGCAGAGCCTGTGCACCAAGGTGATCAAATGAAATGTGCTGCTTTATTATCGCTACAAAAAAGAGAAAAAAATCATCAAATAACAATAAGAGAAGGCTAATAATAGCTGCAGACCTTTAGAACATCAGTAGGTCCCGATGTTTAACTACAAGGAGTAAAAACTGAAATAACGACAGGAGCAGAATGGGAGTGGCTGGCCATCTTCCAGCAGCGCGCGGAGTCGCCGACGATCTCGCAGGGCCGCCGTAAAGCCGGCCGACGGCCGATCAAATCCCCGAAGCACCACGTTACAGGCCGGCTGTCAAGCTGCATCATCGTAATTTTGTTTTTTTTAATATTGCTTCCGTTTTCTATTTTCATCCCGCTAAATCCTGTACTTTCAGAGCTATTTATAGCCGTGCAAATTGCAGGCTTCGTGTAGAAACGGCAGTCGGGATCGAAGAACAGCAGATACACAAAGAAAACATCTGGCACTGGGTTTGGGGGGGTATCATCACAAAAACCCTTATATCCCTGTTCTCTACCCCTGTGCCTCCCCCCCCCTCACCATAAACAATAAGTCAAACACAGAGGGGCCTCTTTGCGGTAATTTTCTGGGCTGCACTTAAGTATCCTATAGAAATACTTAATTCCTTTTCCAGTTAATGGTCTGCCTACCTCGGGCAACACACTGGCCACTGAATGCATTATTTTTTTTTGAATCCAAGAAATGAGATGTTTACTTTCCTGGCACTCTGTTTCAGCAAAATTACTTCAGAGTAAAAAGAGGGAAATTTGGCACGGAGGGCCTTCAATTAGGCCATTATGAAGCAAAACATTGTATGTCGCAGGTAAACAGCAGTCAGAATGAGTCATGGGGGTGGGTGGGGGGGGGGAGGGGTGTAGGTGAGAGGTCTGAAGAATATAAAGATGGTCCATCATGCCATTGCACAGTATGCCTAAGAAGGACTCTTCGGGGGGGGGGGGGGCAAGTGCATTCACCATAGGTCTTCTCATAAAAAAATAAATAATGCAAGAACACATTGAATGTTACATGTTATATCAACCACATGTACTGCCTTTCTCTCTCCCCCCCCCAGTGTCTTGTAAACACTCCCATTGGTACATCAATTAAAATTTTAACATTAAACAGAGCAGGTGGCAAAGTGATTAGCAATCTTGATTCACACCTCTGGAACTACGGTTTGAATCTCCACCATGTTCTCCCTGCAGCAGGGGGTTACTACCCCCCCCCCAGTCCAAAACAGGCTGAGGTTAATTGGAGTTGCCAAAATCACCCATAGGTGTGAATGCTGGGTCAGTGCCCCATCCTGGGTTGTTCCCTGCCTTTTGGCCATAGGCTGTGAATGACCCTGGATAGGACAAGAGGTTAAAGAGCATAATGGATGTTAAATAGTAATTATTATTACATTCACAGCACCGAGCACTCAGTTAAACACGTTTAATCAGCTTTAACAACACAAATCCATCACAGAACACCCACAAATCAGACTGTCTGTCTGTACGGCCGGATTTTCTCCCTGACGGTCCCTAAAAGACAATGCGGGAAACAGGTAACCAGTGGGATTGGGGGGTGGGGTGCAGCAAAGGCAAACTTGAATACAGAGACCTGGAAAACGAGGAACCAGAACCAAATAGAACCAGATAGATACACGAACAACCACGATAATCTTAAAATCAAGACGCCATTGCCCAGCACACCAGTCACTGAGATCTGGCTAATAAAGATCATGAACTCTGAAACAAGACCCCGGATCACGAGAACCATAAACCTTGAGACAAGACACCAGCAAACCCAGAACCACAAACCTAGAAGCGAGACGCCAGCTAAACAAGAACTGCAGGCACTCGGTACCACATAACCAGCAACAATGCTAAAAATCCACAGTCAAACCAAACGTCACAAATATAGGATCTAGACCAGGCTTCTTCAAATCTGGACCTAGATTCCAAATCCAGGCCTTGTTTTCAGTTCTCCCAGGTAGTTGTTTAATAATTACTGATTCTGATTGGTCAGAGGCTTCACACCTGGCTCACAGGTAAAGGAAGGCTGGAAAACCAGCAGTGCTCGGACCTCTAGGACCATGATTTGAATAATAGGGATCTAGACCAACACAGAGCTTTGAATCCTACACTCCAAGAACTACTGTAAGACAATAACTGAGCCCCAGCAAAGCTCACTGCTTAGCTTAAATACAGGCCACTACCTCCAGCTCAGGGTAAGATCACACAGACACTGCTCAATTACCTGATTGCAACCCAGCACAGGTGTGATAATTACAGTTGAACAATGTTTAATTATCTTTGGCATTGTCACAAAAAATAATAAAAGAAAAATAAACATAATTACATCCTTTATTTAGCTTTCCCCCTGTGCCCATTAACATTATTATGATATTTTATTGTTGAGTGCCTAGCAAAAGAATAAAACTGCCTTACACAGCAGCTCTGTTTTACATCTTTTATACTGCGCTTAGCTTTACTTTCTTTCCCTGCAGTATTTCCAACCTGATCCTTAGGGACCCCTCAGCCGGTCCACGTTTTTCCTTCCCAGACAGCCCACGTTTTTGCTCCTTCCCAGACAGCCCACATTTTTGCTCCTTCCCAGACAGCCCACGTTTTTGCTCCTTCCCAGACAGCCCACGTTTTTGCTCCTTCCCAGACAGGCCACGTTTTTGCTTCCTCCCAGGACTGGGTTGGGAAACCCTGCTCCACAGTACACAAAATCTGCATTAAAAATTTTGACACAAGATCTTTTGACATGAGATCAGAATCAGAATCAGAATCAGTTATATTCGTCAAGTGTGCTGTGGGAAACAACGAATTTGGTTCCAGCTGCTAGAGACTCCCTAGTACACAGACAATGACACTGTACAAACAATAAATTACACTATAGAAGAAATAAAAATTTAAAAATGCTATTTGAGTTACACTTCATAAAAAGTTTGCAAAGAACTAGTGACATGGACCACTGTTGCATTCTGGGGTTTGTGTTGCTTGAGTTTTAGGCAGAGGGGGGGCAGTGTTGTCCATGAGGATACATTGGAATGATGATGAATGCATGCAATAGGGTCCAACCAGCTTTGGATGGAAGTGGCTGACCTCTCATTTTGCTCAAGCCCTCTGCATGTCCTGCTGTAATTTAATTAATTGAATTGGGACGTTGTGATTAGAAGAAATTTGTCTGGCCCTTCTCTCTTACTGCACTTACATTTTCTGTTAATTAAGACAGTGAGGGAAGGAGGAACAGAGTTGGGAGGAAGAAATGTAGACTGTACTTGGGTGGCAAGGAAATGGTAAGATAATAGGTGGCTGCTTCGGAAGAGGGGGAATGACACAGGAAAACAAATCAAGCATCGGGACTTTAGGAAGGGCTGATTTAGGGGAAAGACTCCAGCAATATGATCCAGGAAGATGTTCTTGGGGCTTATTGAAAGAACTGAACCCAATCTTATACCATCGGTAGCGCGAATGAATAGGCTAATCACATGAATTCAACCTGGCTGGAATAGTCCACACCTCCCTCCATTTCTTGCCAAGCCTTTGATGCGCTTTACATTTTGTAGTTTATCATTAGGTGCCACTATTTGTATGCCTCGCATGCATTATTTGAAAGCTCTCAGTCTGAGCTGTAGTGCGACAACGACCGCCGAACCGAACTGGATAAGTACGGCGGCAAGTGCCAAATGGAGGGAGTGAAATGCTAATGTCAGTTCGCACACTCTCTCTCTCGAAAGGGAAACGTAATGAGGCACCGACATTAATATGTACCATTACCGCACTTATGGCTGACTCCTTTTCCGCGCCGTAACTCGTCGCATGCGCCTCCATTACCGCCGCTACTCAGCGGTGCGGACAGTAAAAGTTTCCAAGGCGGTGTCATTCAGCGCCAGCGCTGGCTCAGTACCGGGTACGAAGTGGGTGGGTCGGGAAAACTCATTAAAATTCATGAGAGAAGCACAACCTCATTGGCCGGTGAACGTGCTCCCATCGATATGTGCTATCTGATTGGCCGGTGAACGTGATCTCATCGGCATGTGCTACCTGTTTCCTCGACCGACACTCCTTACAGAATCCAAGCCGATAAGTCTTGCAACCTTTGTCGAATAACTGTTGACATTTTATCAACCCAAAGAAGTCCTTAACTTTAAATCCTTAAACATTGTTTGCAATGGGAGCTTAGCCTACATTAAATCTGGTGCATATCTGCTATTTTTCTAAAAAGTCCAACTTAATTCATGATTTAAAATGTGGAGACGTCATTATTCAAAACGGAATCCATCTGCTCATCCAAAGCATAACTGTCAATTTTAAGCATTTGAATCCAGTCGCAGTACAATCTGTTTTCCTTATCATAGGATAATATTATTATGACTTATGGGTTCTGGTAGTTAGCGATTAGCATGGTTTCTTATGCATTTTGTCTAAGGCATTCACCGGCCAATCAGGTATCTGCTCTCATGAATATAAATGAGCTTTTCCCAAACCACCCTGTAAAATGATTATTTGGGTCCCGGGTGCCACATCGCGATGGTCGTTGCACTATCGCGATTAAAGGAACCCATCTCCAGCACACCATACCATTCGGAACCCTCTCCTAAGTGTGTCTTTCTTTGCCTATATTCTACAGATGCCATTTCCACAGAGCAATACTTGACAGACCCTGGTAAATTTTAATTGTATAGTGAGATTTAAAATCAATGTACTTCTTTACCCCGACACATACGCGTCATGTCATCATGGGTTGATGTCGGCTTTGCGCAACAACCGTGAAGATGCCACCGTCATGCCTTAGTCATTAGCAAATCGCTACACATTAAGAATTTGATTAGGACATTGATTAAGGAAATAACATAAATTCGTAGTTGTGTTCCTGCTACATGGATCACTTTAGCATTATGGCCAGAAAACTGGGTCAGAGCCAGTTATGACACATAATTTTAATGGTGATCACTGGAATAATCTGCCATTTCTGCCACAGTAGCCCCTTCGTTGGTTCATACCTTCGTATTGACACCCCACATCCAGTCACAGGTTTGTAGTTTGTGGAGATGTTCTGACGCAGTCACACAGATCTTTACTCCTGGACATTTCTTCTGCATTCAACGTGTTAGCTACAAGTACCCAATGTTAGCTTACTGTCTAATATATTAAAAGCCTTGACACACCATTTTTACTAGATTGCCAACATTATTTGCTTTACGTGGGAGTGCTTATAGTGCTTTGGCCGTCTATCTGAGAAACGATTTTCTTGCTTCATCACATAACCCAAGCAACATCATAGGAGCTTATTATCTTATTTAATTTGCCTGCTGGGTTCAACTCAATGATGCTACTTCAGCACGAACACGCTCAAGTTCTGGTTCAAATTTCGTCCAAATTGGTCACCTCGACATGAAATATTCACATCGGGCTGAAGATGAACCGTCTGTTTATGACTCATGGCTGCTGGGCGCGCAGTTACGTAGGATGGTGCCTTGATAAGGAGTAGACACTGGTCACATTTACAATTCAAAGGAGGATCCAAAGACTCAGAATTTAAAGGGGGTAATTAAGAAGCTCGATTAGATGTTAATTGCTGTTTTGGAGATGAAGCTTCTCTAATCTATTATGGAGTCTCAGTGTCATTCTGTAGCACAAAGTCAACAGCGGCGAGCAGTACAAAGCCAGGTCTATCCGGAGACTCAAATAATCCTTTTCCCTTTTATCTAGATGACATTAGAACATGTAATAGCCTTTTCAAATGGTTAACTCTTCCTTCTGCTGTAACAGACTGCATTCAATGCCAACATAAGCACACTTTTAAAAAGAATATTTCTAATGCTTGGTTTGAGTGACAAGAAATTCCAGAATTTTGAACGTCTGTTATTGTTCTTTAAGGTCTTTGCTCAACCCTGTCAATATGTTTACATAATTTTACTGATGGGTAAAAAAACAGATCAAATTCATTGTAGTCTCACTTTTTTTTTGGGGGGGGGGTAGCAAAGACTGAATTAGAAGTATTCAGTTTAAGGGAAATTATTCATATATTATACGTTTACTTTATAAGTTCTTCCATGATGAAATTACCTGGTGTGGCAGCAACATTCCTGCATGTTCTTGGCAATCGAATTTCCTCCAGGAACACATGCTGAATGGTCCATTATGTGAATCACAGATATACTGTAGGACATATCTTCCCCTGATGATGTCACAGTTTCATGTTCTTGTAATGGGATCATTGTAGCTTGGGTACAAACACAAATAGTTCAAAATGGAATTGAAGGACTCACAGCCCCAGCAGGTTGTCTGAGCTGGCACCTGTGAAGGACTGTCACAAATCTTTTACCTTATATTAATTCTGCCTTCATGGATCTATAAAAAAAAAAAAACGAATTCCATGTAAGACCAATACCCACTTTTGTGTTGTTTAATTGGCAAAAAGGCTGATTACAAAGATCTTAAAGTGAATTAACCTTTAATAGGAATACCTGGCAAGACTCGCGTTTCCTTGTGTCTCAGAGTCTCAAAGCCGTGAAATTAGTTTCTCGTATTTGTAGGTTCAGTAAGCATATAGATATTCATCACATGTACTTACGCCAAATTTGTCTTTATGTAATATTTATAAATACACACTTAGTGGCCACTTTATTAGGCAGCACCAGGAAAGGCCCACTTCTGCCCCCAGAACCACTTCAAGGTTAAAGGAGTTGCATGTTCAGAGAAGCGATTCTGCACAGTACTGTTGTATTAAGCTGTTGTTTTTTCACACCTCTGGCCTTCTTGCTAGCTTTAATGAGTCTGACCGTTAACAAGGTGTTCTCGGTCACAGAAATGCCATCGGGTGGTCGCTTCCTGTTCGTCACACCATTCCTGGTAAACTCAGGACACCGTACTGTGTGAAAATCCCGGGGGGGGGGGGGTTTGGCAGTTTCTGAGGGGGTACATGCAACAACCTAGCTTAACACATCCCATGATCACATAATGTGCACTCGTTCTTTGAAAAGGTAGTCAGCAGGCCGAGCATGGCTTCAAAGCTGATCTCTAAACAGAGTTGGGTAATTCAGGTCCAGAGAGTAAAAGTCCAGACCAAGATTTTGTTTCAACCAACCAGTTGCGCATAAAGAGTCACAGTCACAGAGTACTCAACTGGTTGGTTGAAACAAAATCCCGGTCTGGACTTTTACTCTCTGTACCTGAATTACCAAACTCCGTCGCTAAATGGGTTCACTGCGTGAAATGCTTGGTGGTATTCAAAAGACAGAATAAGGGGTGGACACTGACTCGAAGACACCAGATCACCGCCGTTTGTCCAGCTTGCTGTCTTCACACATCTCATTTGTCCGGTTCCCTCCCGATTTGCACTTGTATTCAGTTACGCTTGTGCTGTAACCGTAATTGTGACAAAAGAGCTAATTGTAATTATTGTGCGCAGAACCAGCCTCAGACACTGGTGTCAGGGAACTAATTGCAGACATGATTACGGAGACAAGTCATGATTAGAAGATGGAATCAAGTCCTCTGTTAATCGTATTGCATTTGCAACAGGCAGACTGAAGATCAGTGAGACAGCCGTGGGCTGGGCGGATGGAATGAGGGACCATAGCGAGATCTATAAAGGGCAGAATGAACATCTAGCACGATCTGACAGTGGTGCAGTAAACTATAGAACAACATTACCTATAAGTAAGTAACATTCATTGCAAAATATTTCAGCTTAAAAAATATATTACATTTAAATCTATCGATTTATCGGTGTATTTATGTACGCACCGTTGCCTATGATCATAAGCTTTTGCTAGTGACCAAAAGAATGAGATCATGGATACAAGTAGCAGAAATGAGTTTCTTTCTCAGGGTGTCTGGGCTCAGCCTTCGGGAGGAGCTCAAAGTGGAGTCGCTGCTCCTCCGCATCGAAAGGAGCCAGTTGAGGTGGTTCGGGCATCTATCAAGGATGCCTCCTGGACACCTCCTTGGGGAGGTGCTTTGGAGATGTCTAATTGGGAGAAGACACTGGGGCAGACCCAGGACACGCTGGAGAGATGATATCTCTCGACTGGCCTGGGAACGCCTTGGGATTCCCCCGGTGGAACTGGAGGAGGTGGCTGGGGAGAGGGAGGTCTGGGCATCCCTGCTTAGACTGAGCGGTGGAGAAGGAATGAATGAATGAATATATCAAATATATTAAATAAATAGAAACTTATTTCGTCATAGTGTTTCAGAGAGTATATAGAGTGTCCAGCATCAGGCTCAGAATGGCATGTTACCAAAATCTGCAATCTTGAAATCCTACTTTTTCATCCATTTATCCAGCTTGGAGCTTCTTCTGGAAGAAAAAGACCATGGTGTGTACCATGGATGAGCGATCTGCCTGATGCAGGACACTAACCCATGTTTAATTTAAATGCAAATATTTTCGCATTCTCGACCAAAGTTGCTGACTCGGGGTAAGTAAAGCACGTGCAGGAGAGATCGATGGTGCGGCCGACTTTGGTGTGGAGCTTCTGTTCGCACACGTTCATAGTAGCATAGCCTTGCAGGACTCACTGTGACATACGCACATGGAAGATTCAGTTAACTGCTTATGCCAAACATCTCCGAAGATGCCTTCTCGGTGTGGGAGGGGACTGGATCACCGGGAGGAAGCCCACGCAGAAACAAGGAGAACATGCCAACTCATGGCTAGCCGGCGAGCCAGCAGGACGCCCATGCTCCATCATCATAATTAGCCACGCTTGTGAGGCGGTGATAATGAGCACCTTGTAATGTCACTACAGCCGTCTGTACAGATGCTCCTCACTTTATAATGGCTCGACTCACGTTATCTCGACTTCATGATGTTGCGACAGCCATGCACATTCGGTAGTCAATTTGGAATTTTGATCTGTTCCTGGGCTGGCGACTTCATGCAGTACTTTTTTTGATGCCGGGCGATGGCAGAGGTCACGCAGCCACGCTTCCTGTCTCTGTAGCGATAACGAACATAAACATCTGATACAAAGTTTAACAACGTACCGTACAGTCTTTTTTGTCCCGTGTTTACCGAAATAAACTTGCACTCATTTATTTACTTTTCAATTACTGGTACTTAGTAATTATTTATTTACTTATTCAGTGACAGTAACTATTTATTTGCTTATTTATTTACTTACCATATTAAAGCTATATTGCACTTTATTTTTATTTATTTATTTATTTATTTTATTATTATTTTTTATATATATACATATACTGTTTGTGGATTCTGGTTTATTTTGTATTTTCAGAAAAATTGTTTGAAAATCTGTTATAAATAAAGTTTAAAAAAAAAAAAGAAGCTATATTGCACTTACGATATTTTCCACTTACGATGGATCGATCGGAACATTACCCCATCGTAAGTGGAGGAGCGCCTGTATCAGACTGTGGAGTCTGACCCTTATGGCGTGCGAGTGGAGGACAACCAGAGCAGTCATGTAACAGCCAGGCAGCAGCAAACGTGAAGTTTGCAGCGGCTCGGCCAGCCTGATTTATCACCCAGAGCACGGTTTGCCGAAAGGCGCCCCCCCCCGCCACTGCCCAAGGCCCATCTGCTAGTGCCAGCCACTTCCCCTACAACCTCATCCAAGTGCCGTCATCCAGAGAGTGCATTCCTACTTTCGCACCGCGTCACAACCGAACTCTTGAGCTCGCCCTCGACTCAACCGACACATGGCTCTACACCACAGGCCAAAGGAAACAACCTCTACACAGCACTGCCAGTAATGACATGATTCATCTTCCGGGCATATTTCATGGTCGAAGGAAGATCATATTTCAAAAAAACAACAAAAAAAAAAACACATTTGTCAGGTACCGTGATAACGATAACAACGGACTTTAGCGACGCGGTGTTCCTGAGCACCACCTTATGACCGGGCCGAATCCAGCCTCAGATTTCAAAAGCAGTCACTTCAGTGCTTTTGAAAACCGTAACTCCAGGATAAAATGAGAACAGAACAAAAGCCAGAGGGAAAAACGCAGCTACTGCCTCGTAATTAGGCAAAGACAGCCTGTTCAGCAGGGGCTGCGAAATCCAAACAAGGTTGTCCGTCGAAGCTTTTGTCCCTCAGAAAGAACCCTCACGACCAAAATGATTTTAATAGTATAAATGCTAGCCATGATCCACGCTAGACCAGAAGTATAAAAGCAGTACGCTCCACATATTGTATGATAAGTGCATCTGTGTTCCAAACTGTGACAGTCTGAAGCTTTCTCCAATTAACATGGACTAATTAACTTTCTCCAACCCTTTCTCCAGTTAACATGGACCATCCAACCCTTTGTGTACTGATACAACTGCAAGGAGAGTATTAACAAAACATCGTGCTAGCCATGTAATTCCATAACCTTACATGTTCTGTCTTGCTGACTCCCGCTCCAAAGTCTCAGCACTATGGTCTCCATGACCTGGAGGCCGGCTAGAAAGATCATTCGGCCAGCAACCTTATCAGTGTCGCGCCCAGTCCTGTCCATCCCTCGGTATGACCAGCAGGGGTCGCTGTTGGTCCTCCGTAATCCTCTCGCTTTCTTCCCAGCTGTGTTCTGTTCGTTACCCCCAATCCAAGTGTGGTAAATGTCAACATCTGAATGGTATCAGTCCCTCGTTAGTCCCACACATGCGTGCTTCCCAGCCCAGTGTTCCCCAGTCCGGTCATTAACGGCAGTCTTCCTGTTGCTTGTGCCCATCCCAGAGTTAGTCTTCTCATTTTGACCCCTCACAGTCCTGCTTGTTTCTCTGCTCCTGTCTTGTTAATGAAGCCCCTTCTGTTCTCCTGATGCCTGCCCTCGAGTCCTTCGTGACAATCAGCACGAACACAAGCTAAACATCAATCCCTGGGCTGATGCTGATTAAGAACAGTGATCTAACACCATGGATGATACAGCACAATGTCTACCATTACCAATGTCGTACTTGACTCACACAGTGGTAGCTGATTATTCTGACATCGTTAACACGGGTTCAAATGCAAAATTATTTTTTCCACGCAAGTCACAATTTTATGATGTGTATTGAGACATTCACGGGTCTGTATTTGTCTAGAAATATAATGTTATGTCTAGAAATGCAATGTTATTTAAATCTGTTAGCACCTGTGATTAATATAACCCTTCAATGGAAGCTTATATGAAGCTGTAATCCCTTATCACAATAATTACATTCCACATTAACATCTGCTGTTTACATTTGTCTACTGTTTCGTTTAAGCAAGATAACACAAAGCTATTTCTATCACGTATTTTATAGGTTATAATCAACGTGACAGTGGGAAATTTTTACACTGTAGTTAAAAGTATAGGGATTAAAAGACCAAGAGCTCCCTCTGGTGGTCCAAACAAATTGTACTCACAGTTGCTACCACAATGGGGGATAATCATTGAATATTACACCACGTAAATCTGATTGGTTGCCTGTTCAGTTTAATGGCTGATGCATGCTACAGCTACAGCATGGATTCAAATACATTTATTCAAAAAAACATGTGGAGAGAATCAATCACCTTTCATCAGTTTTATTTTTTGTTTCATGCACATACAGGTCATACATTTTTCCATGCGTACATGGGTTTTATCTGCTGTAAATCCATTCATATTTGAACAGCAGTTACATTAAAATAGTCTGTCATCCACAGAATGAATGTTGATGGGAAAATAAGGTTATGTATGACAGTGACATCTAGTGGTTAGTAATAGTAATCACAAGTAAATAAGGCTATACCTACAGCTGAGGTAGAAATTAAGACTACATTGTTAAACAAATCTGCATTTTAAAATCCTTGTTTAATCCTGGTTCTGCTGGCAGAAGGCTACGCTGAGCAGCAGGCTGCTTCCAGGCTCGTAGTTTCTAAGACAGCAGTACACAAGAACAAGGTGAAGCAGGAGACACTGGGAACGACCAGGAACCAGCCAGGTAGTGGGCAGAAGTAACTTCTTAATGCCAGAGATGACTGTCAGCTTATCCGGCAGTGCCTCGTAAATCAGAGGATGACATCGAGTGACTTTCAAAAGGAATGGGGAACATTAAGTGCAGGTGTGAAGTGCACTGCTAGGACAGTTCATATCAGGCTCCTGGAAGCAGGACTAAAGCCCCATAAAGCAAGGAAGAAGCACTTCATTAATGAGAAGCAAGGAAGAACCAGGCTGCATTTTGCAAAAAAAATATATCACTCACAGACGCACACCCATGAATTGAGAAATGAGTGAAACAAAAATTGTGCTGTGGTCTTTTTTCCACGGTTGTATATTTAAAAAATTGCTAAAAAAGGTAAGCATTGAATAAGACCGTCAGTAAGTCATTTTATTTAAAAGACATAATTTAAATTTGTTTAAAAGTGCTAGTGCCTTGTTTAAATTCACAATAATTGAACTGTAGTATTTAGTCGAAGGTGCCAAATTGGAAGCCTTTTCTGGGGGGGGGGGGGGGGGTGTCTGGAAATCATGGCTTGAGAACTTGAGATGCCATGTTATCCACCTTATCAAAGGTCGGGGAAATGGGCGAGGCAGTAGTCTGTGTAGCTGAATTCTTCTATGGGAAAAGGAATGTCCTTCCACTTCTTTACAGGACGGGTACCCTCCTTTGTCACCAGGGCGAAGTTCTTGATGGCCAGGTTGGGTAAGGTGACATTCTTATATATGATCTCCATACCCCACTCCTGTGCACACAGACATACTGCTTTTACCACACAGACCAATTCAGACAACGTGTAGTACTAGTTAAAAGTTTGGCCGCACCTATCTATAGAAAGGCTTATTCGTACCATTTCCTACATTTTAGAATAATTATAAAGACATAAAAACTATAAAATAACACATGGAATTATGCACTGACCAAAAAAGTATTAAATGAAAAATATTAATTTGCTGGGGAGGAAGTTCTGCGAGTTGGGACTCAGAAAGTTGCTGGTTAACATCCCTGGGTCGGCAGAGTGATCCCACCATTGGGCCCTTGAACAAGGCCATTAGCCCCAGTTGCCCCAGGGACTGGCTGCCCCTACTGTCATCTCTATGCCAGTTTCATTAGATGGCCTTCTAGTCTTCTAAGGAGGTCCCACATACTGTATATGCTGAGCTCTCATTGGCTGCTTTTCCTTCACTCTCCAGTTAAACTCCTCCAGGTGGCCAGATCATGTGATGCAACACTATCAATCCATATCTCCTTTGTAGGTGGCTTGGCATGTCCAAACTTTTGACTGGTACTGTATGCAGCTTGCAAGCACAAGCATAGAGAATTCATTTTGCAGTGCAAATGGATTCCATGATGGAAGAAATAATATGTGATTGTGACTGGCAGAACAACACTCAAACTCTGTCTTCATGGAGGCTCAACTATGTAGGAGTTGGATCCGCATTTAAAACAAAGCCAGTTGTTTTGTACAAGGTCAGAGCATAAGGGGCGCATCATTACCCCAAAGCAGGGAGGGGACTGTGGATAAGGAGAGACACCATCTCCACAAGCAAAACATCTCCACAAGCAAAACATCTCCACAAGCAAAACATCTCCACAAGCAAAATATGTGAAGGAAATGAACTCGATTTCTAAATTCCAGCATAAACCAATAATATCTCCCTTTTGTGTCACGCCGGAACCCAGGATGTCACACTCATAAATTCAAGGACATGTCACCATTTGTTTAGTCACTATGCAAGTCTTCCCTTTTCTCTTTAATGCTTTGTTAATTTTTCCAGTTCTAAAAATATACACCAGCTCAAAAATGTTTTCACTGAGCCAAGTGCTCTTAAAGGATTTATATTCAGGAGCTTAAATTCTGCGTAATTGCTTGTCTTTTATGGCCCGGCAAATAAATTCAGCTGCCCTCCAGAGCATGACGCGATAATTAACTCATCCACCCATTTTTAATAAGTACTCATCTGCTTAGGGTCACAAATGATCCTTGGAGACATAGCAGGTTGCATCCTGGATGGAGGAGAACAGCCCACCGTGATGTGGTCTCTCTCTCTCTCTCTCTCACACACACACACACACACACCACACACACACACTAAGCACGATCTAGAGTCACCAGTTTGCCTGAACCCTAGCAAACAACTCCAGCGAGGGGTGGGGTGTGCCTTAAGGCATCTTGTTATGCCTTGAAAACTTAAGTATCCGTGATATTTCTTCAAAGACATGGATTGTACCATTAGCTTTTAATACCGTAATCCGCCAAATGTCTTAGACTGGCCAAGAAAATCGTTTTAAAAGGAAAATCAGTTTAAAGCCATCTATCTGGGCAGTAAGTACACATTTGGCCAGAAAAAAACAACACTATTTGAGATTAGAATATATACCAATGATTAGGACCTTAAGATATAGTTGGTTCAGCCCAAGTTCTCAAACTGAGAGCACGCATGTCAAATCATCTGAGCTAAAATCATTCAAGGTTTCAGCCCTCAATGCCCCCAACCTCAGGACGCCTCGGCAGACAGCAATACAATTAAAAGTAACAAGAATTTCCCCCGTTTTACAAAAAGTTATCGATCCCCTGTCAGATGCCTAAACTGCAGCTTTGGTGGGCAAAATCTCTCCTCGGGGGGGGGGGGGGGGGGGCAGACCAGCCATTCCATGCATTTGTTAGATTCCACTACCAGCCACTTAATTAATTAGCTTAATTGGCTAAGCTCATGAGGTATTGATTAGACAGATGAAGTGTGATAGTGCTCAAGTTCACCGAATACATGGGTGTCCTGGCTGGTAACTGCAAATGCTGGGGGGGCTTGAGGAAAGATTTTGAAACAGCTAAGCAGAAACACAGACAAATACAAGCAGAATGTAAACATGATTTTCTTTGGCAGCAGTATAAGCTGTCATGTCGCAGGAATCTGACCATTTCGCTCAGCTACATGCACATCTGCCTCGGGGCCTTACCACGCCACATGCAGCACAGCTGATTTTACGGCCTGGATTCCAGTCTTTGAATGACTTCTCCAGATGAATCTGTCCCCCAGCTCTGTAGTACTTCCTGAAAGCCCAAAGAGATGGTAAAAAGGGTAAATGTAAGGTAAATGTGTTAACTAACCAGTTAACAACTCAGCTGTACAGTGGGAACCCAAGGTTTAAGCTATCAGTCTTATTCAACGCTTCCAGAAATAAATGGTTCACAAGTTTCAAACTGCGCGCCGAGTTAGAGCAGGCTGTCACAGAGTGAGCCAATGCAGGTAATCAGCATAGAGGTAAGATCCGTGTGAAATGTATAAGAGTAACCTAAGTTCTTTCATTGTTCCTTGATCCTTTGAGGAGTATAAAATAAAACATGATTTTCATGTTTTTTTTCCATGTTCTTTCATATATTTCCATTGCTTAATCATCACTTGAGAATTACGCAAAAAAAAAAAATCAGAATCTTTTTCATTTGCGAGAGTAGTACTACACAATACTATACAATAATGTACATTATTATTACTGTATTTAATATTGGTAATGTCCAATATTCTTCCCGATAAACAGAAGAGCGCCCGGTCACCTCACCACTCCACCCCACATTCAAATCTTGTGAATTTCAAATGAATTTCAAAATAATCCCCCTTCCAGGGGCCAGTAACTCACATAGTGCAGAGGGTTAAGTCTCTGCCCCGAATTCAAAAAACTGTCCAGTAACTTATGTCATCAGAATCTGCTCATTTGCGATCAACAAGAGACTGTTGATTAGCGTGCCGATGTAACTCTCATGCCAGCTGTCACGGTCGGGCAGAAGGCGATTCGGGAAGCAGGGATACGGAGCCAGGAAGTAGGGCAAACGGGGTTTATTAAGGGAGAATCCACAGGACGGGGAAGGACGACGGGTAACATTAATGACAAGTCTGGGGAAGACTGACTCAGACGAGAACTAAATACAACAGACAAGCTACGGGTAACGAGTCACAGGTGAGAACAATCAGGGATAAACAGGAGGTAATGAGGTGGGCGTGGCACACATTAGGACGGAGAGGGGCGTGACATCAGCCAACTGTCGGGGGTGATCACTTTTCAGGAGGCTTCTTGACATTGGAGGTTCTCCCCCATTTCATCTCTCCCCCCTCCTCTTTCTGTCCTCACCTCACATTTATATTCATGTATAACCACCATCCAGACATCAGCATACAATATTTATGCAGAGAGCAACCAGTTTCCAAAACAAACTCCCAGAGAAACCATTTCATATGTTTATGGAGATATTGTACTTTTTAAATGAACTGTCCAACATACTAAAAGCAGGGACATAATGTATGTCAAGATCACCATCAACGTTCTCATGCATCAAACTGATTTAATGAGTATTTTGTGATAATTACACAAGCTAAATGCATTTGAATGGGGTTCCTTCAGAATCAGGTTTGCCTCACACAGATATAAGAACCTTTAATTATAGGAACTTATGAAACTGCAGGGTATAAGATGCTGGCTGATCTACTTCCAAACCTAGATCTCACCCATCTTAAATGTGTCCATGTCTCTCATGGAGAGCAAGATGGGGTTTGTGAAAACTACCCAACTAAAGAGCAAATTTGTAAAATTCAAATCAGTCCACAGGACATGTTTTCGAGAAGAAGCCTGTGGACTTAGTGGGGTTTGGAAATTTAGTTAAAGTACTTCTTTGGATTACATGCAGACCAAAAGAGTTTTGGTTCCCAATACTGTAACATACGATGAGGAAGCCTGGCTTTAGGTCATTGGCGGTCTCATCTCAAAAACGACAAACAAGTAGACTGAGTGAGTTTTAGAAATTTACTCTTCAATTTTCCAACAAGAATCAATTAAGTAGCCATATTCTGTTAACTAAACATCAAGAACTGACGGAAAAATGGGACACTTACTTAAATGTGGGGTTGACGTTGACGTAGTGCGCGTCATCAACCAGCTGGATGTCGTTGCCATGGGCGACCTCGGCGTAGCAGGTCCGGCATGACAGTGTGACACTGGCTGGGTCGTACCGGTTCTGCTTCTGCCTCATCTTTAGCCCTGCCATCCTTTTCATGATCATGGTCTCCTCCTGTATCTCAATGATCTGAGAGATGACAAGCACAGGCCCTCAAGCAACACTGTTGTCCATGGGTATAAAAACACGCCCAGTGACAGGTGTCCCTGACTGAAACGAGGGTCAGGTTCTGAAAAGCAGACATTTTTGTATGTGCAACCTGTTTGCTTCTACAGCTTTGGAATTACGGACGTGTCTCAAAGCAGATCACACTAATAGAGCATAGTATAATGACAGTAATGCGTTAGTGTGCTTTCATGTTAAATGTCACTCAAAACACACTGCAAAACATGATATAATATGGATCGTAACTGTGAGGCAGGATGGCAAACAGAATCATGTCACATGACACATTTTTTCCAGAACCAGGAACCTTTGTCGTGTTCACACCGCAGGAACTTGGCCTGATTGTGGTTCCTTAGAGTCAGTTCTGGAGCCCTTTTTTAGTCCCTACTCCAGACAAGGCACTTTTACCTCGAACATAAATTACAGGGGTGGTGCTTACTGTACAGTGATACCTTGCTTATAGGTTAATCACAAGCACTGGCGTTAACTTGGAAGTTAGGCAGAAATATGGGAGCAAATATTGAGCAGGTTGAGTTATATTTGTAGTTCAATTACATTCTATGCATCAATGAATACTGTTTTCTTGCATCTCCATATTTCTGCATTGGAAAAATTTGACCGATAACCAATATACTTTTGTCTAACAACGTATTGGGCTAATTAGAAGTTTACATTACATCGTTTTTTATTTTGTGGAAAACAAAAGATCGATCTGCTGGCTAAATTTAATAAGAATCATGACCATATCGTGGGTCATATACTGTAAGTAAAATATAAATGAAACGCTGCGCCCTGTTATGACTGCGATGGATCCCCCCAATAACTAACAAAACAACTTGTTCATCCTTCATGGTTTTGGGGTGGTGGCGTAGTTTCACATTAAATTACGTGTGAAGTGAACCTATTGACCTTTTTGTGTCTCCCATGCTTATGTGGCATAAAGGTTCCCAGTTCCTGTTGTGCGGTGTGAAAGCGACACATGGAAGTGGCCAAGAGCTACAAAAGTTCCCAGGGACCAGGTTCTGGAACTTAGACTGAAAGTTCCTATCCATGCAGCGAAACTGAGAACCAACAACACTGGAGGAGACGCCATGAACAGTTGACCCTAACAAAGCAATCTTCACCTGCCGCTGGAAGTCACGGGGGTTCATTTGCTGCACCTCATGAATGGCCCGCTGGGTCAGCTCCTCCAGGTACTCATTCGTTTTCTCACGCTTAATCTCCCGGCCCGTCTCCAATGCTACCACGGAGTAAACGCTGCCCTGGGCCCGGGCCCGTCCGCTGGCCTGCTGCATGGCGATCTCGTTGGTCAGCAGCCCGTACCGCACCACCAAGTTGCACTCGGGGATGTCCAGGCCTTCCTCGGCCACGCTGGTGGAGATGAGCAGGTTCAGGTGGCCCTCGCGGAACCGTCTGATGGTCTGCTTCTGTTCATTCTGTAGAGCAGGAGCACAGACACAAAGGATAACACTTATGCAGACAACATCGGCCAGAACCTGCCATGCCATATTTGCATATTTGATATTATTGGCACAGATAATCTACTCAGATAAATATTAAAGACCTTTCATCAGCTTGCTTTGGGCTGTAACTAATTATTGAATGTATTTCACTCAATACATATAAGCTTCTGTTATGATGTCACAAGCAAAGTCTGTTAGGCCCTGGACGTCCTTTACTTCTTTAATCACTTTCAGACACTCAGGATTCTCAAATATAATCCTCAAATAAGGCCCCAGTTAAGAAAAGCACCAAAATGTAGTGTTAAATATTACCATAAAGACATTTCCCAGTTTACCAGGGTTCATAACATAAGCTCTTGGTTCTTGCTCTGGTCCACAGAACCTAGAACTGCATCAACATAAATGCGGGTGACGAGACATTCAGCCAAGAGAAGAATCAGGGTACCTGGGTCATGTGACTGATCTGATTTCCTGCCCCGGTGAGGATCGCAGCCTTGATGCTGGTGTCCTGTAGAGCGCGGTTGGCCAAGATCCAGTCGTACAAGCAGCGGGCGCTGACGCGGGTCTTCGTGAAGAGGATCCCACGGGAATTAGCCTGCGAGTCAAACTGCTGCAGGAAGGTACTCTCCAGCTGAGCCAGTTTGGGATTCTCGTGCTGGGCCATGCCCGCCAGTGCCTTAAGCTCAGTTCTGTTTTCTGGAAGAGGAGGGAAACCATTAAACAGAACCGCTGACAAAGAATAAAGGCATTAATCTGCCATCTCCCACAGGTGGAAATTTCTGGTCCAGAAAGTAAAAATCCAGACCAAGATTTTGGTTCGACCAACCAGTTGAGTATAAAAAGTCACAGTCACAGAGTTCTCAACTGGTTGGTCGAAACAAAATCTTGGTCTGGATTTTTAGTTTCTGGACCAGAAATTTCCACCTCTTCCATTCCAAACTGCTTATCATGTTTAGGGTCATGGGGACAAAACTGGCAGGCTACCCCAGGCAGCACAGGGCAGGTTAGGGACACTGTGGATGGGATGCCAGTCCATTGCAGGACTCACGCGCACAGACACTCAGTACAAGGAGGAAGCCCAGGCAACGAGAGAGCATGCAAACACAAAGAAAGGAGGCATGAGACAAGCATCATGCAGCCTTCAAGACATTCAGTTTTCCTGTGAAAAATGAAATCAAAATTTTTTTTGATTTACACTTCTTCTGAACCTTCCTGCATGACAGTTATTAGTATTGTAACATGTCAACAACACACTAATATCTAATGCAGCGTTCTCCAGTCCCAGTCCTGGAGGGCCGGTCTGCAACACAGTTTGCAGATTTCCCCCATAAAAAATACCTACTAAACCTGGTAATTGGCTAGTGAGCCAGTCGGAAAATCTACAAACTGTTGTACACTGGCCCTCCAGTACCAGAACTGCGCAAAACCTGATCTAATGTGATGTATAACTGGAGAGGAAAGACCTCACGACAGGCTGGTTTCCTACCTTCGAAAAGACCAAACAGGAACCAGTCAGTGGCATCCAGGCCAATCCGCTTGATCTTCTCGTCGCTGTAGAAATCGTCCAGGACATTGAGGGCGTCCACCATGCGCACGGTGTCGTTGATCAGCAGAGCGTTGTTATACTGACGCAGGTGCAAGGCACATTGGGCCAGCTGGCGGTTCCTCCGCTCCACACCTGGTCCAGCAGAGACGGATTAATGCCAGCATCACACACACCAGCTCCATATCCACAACACCTCACTTTCTACATAATGATCAATCTCGCTAAGCTACGCAAACCCAACCCACGAAACCTAGCACTGATGAAATATTTACGCCTGTTCATAATTGCTGTATTGTGGTTTAGAATTAAACAACTGAAATCATTCAAATGACCAGCATAATGCTTTTTATAATAGATAGCTGGCTGAGTGCTGCTTCTACCCATTATCCATAAGTGCTCATTATTCATTAAACTGACTTACATTGTATACTGTACATATTAAATCTGGAAAGCCCAAATAATTGCATTATATTCCCTAAATTTGAGGTGAAATAACATTTTGCATCAAAATAAGAAAACCTGCCTAAAGGCTTTGATTACTGCATTTGCCTTCTCTCGCCTCATAAAACTGTTCTCATACTACTAAAAATGATTGTAGCCCACATCCTGTACAACTTCAGAGAGGTTGCCCACTGGTATCACATAACCCATTAAAATCATACAAACTCTTTCGGTTCCATGCTCACACACATAGGCTTTATTAATGACCTGGAGGTGCTAATGCTGAGCACGACTCGCGTAGCTAATGCTCAGCACGACTCGCATAGCTAATGCTGAGCGCGACTCGCGTAGCTAATGCTGAGCGCGACTCGCGTAGCTAATGCTCAGCACGACTCGCGTACCTAATGCTGAGCACGACTCGCGTAGCTAATGCTCAGCACGACTCGCGTAGCTAATGCTGAGCACGACTCGCGTAGCTAATGCTGAGCACAGCTCTACTTTGCCAAAGCCAGTCCAGACTAGCACCCATCAGTTCACCTTTCTTCTCCAAGAGCACCACGCTGGCCTCATACTCCTGTGTTCCGAAATCATTAAAGACATCCTCAAGGTCCATGAACTCATGAATCGTCTGCATCATGAACTTGACATGGTCCCCAAATGGATCCTAAGACAAAAAGTACCCAGTTACTCGTGTTGCTTTTCCACTGCCACTGAGAACTGAGCCGTACCCAAGCCATACCGCGAATTGATGGTTTTCCATTGCAAATTATTTGAGGCATAGCCAAGCCATAACCGCACTGACACGGCCTTGCTAAGCTGAGCTGGTTGCGTCACCAACATCTGAACTGTGAAAATGGTGATCTGAATCAATATGCATTGATTATCTACAGGAAAATAATGGCATATTCTATACATTAATTCAATATTAGTAGTAACTGTATTGATGCATTCCCAGTAACTCAGGATTTGAAATTTGCCAACCTCTTAGTTAAAAAAAAAGTACTATCAAACAACTAAACAGAACGGATTCGTAATGCTAATTTAGGCAAGTGAATACTAACTCCGGTAGCATTTGATGCTAACATAACATGGCAATTCTCACAGACATGCTAGTGGAAATTAGCACATACTAACTCATGATATACGCCCTGTGAACATTAAATGTGTTTCTTCAGTTTTAGGTCGCTGTGGTTCTCCAAAGGCGGTAACACCATTACCGCGCCGACCCTTCTGCAGTGGAAAACCGAAGTGAGCTGGAACCGTGTTGCAACTAGTCTCTCTGAGGTATGGCTCGGATACGGCTTGGAAAAGCCCCATTGGACATCTTCTTGTAAATGCACCTAATCCTTGTTCAAATGTAAATCTGTAATGTGTTTGAACTCAAGAGTACAAGAATGGAACTATGCTTAAGGAATATAAGCCCAACAATCATTTACAGCAGGGGGTGGGCAATGTTATCCGCAGAGGGCCGGTGTGTATGCAGGTTTTTGGGATAACTTGTAGGTCAGCTGTTCAAACCCAGGTGTGAGGACTCTTCAGCCAATCAGTCCTCTAATTAGTAATCTAATGCAGCGAAAACCCGCATACACACCGGCCCTGTGCGGATAAGATTGGCCACCCCTGATTTACAGGAATTCTACCCTTACAACTCACAGCAAGAACTGACACCTGCTGCTGTCCAAAATAAGCCCATGCGCAGTGCTGCTGTCATTGGACACCACTAGGAGAAAGTAACCAACCTTCAGCCTCTCCTGAACGATGTCATACTTCTTAATGGGTCTGGGGACTCTCTGCTGTAACTCCACGGCATGCTCCTCGGAAGACATGATGGCCGAGGCATCAAGGTTGGCACAAACCTACAAACAACAAACGAACAATGTGAATGAGCAGAAAGCTTATTCTCACACAGGAGAATCTGATCGGACTGCAAGGACCAACCTGCAAAATGTGTTTCTTAGCTCCATCGAAAGTCTTGGCTCCCCCCGTCCCAAGGGAGGCAGTAAGGCCCAACACCTGTGGTAAGTTCATTTCCCCGGTGAGCTTCTGCTCCACATAGGACCCCATAATCTTGTTGTAGACCGTCTCCTTTTGGGTGTGGTGGCATTCATCGATGATCAGCAAGGTGAAGTCTGAAGGTGGTCATCACACAGACATGTGAGATTCTAGACATTCGTCTCATTGGCTTAGAAATGAGGGAAACTGGAGAGATCATTAAGTAACTTGCACATATACCATATATCGTAAAATACAGCCATGCTGAAACTTGCTCACTGTATTATTTGTCGCTATGTGTAAGATACAAACCAAGATGGAGATCAATCAAATATTCTAGGTTGTTCTAATCTGTATTACTTAGCTTTTGGAGGCCACCAGAAAGAAAAAAATAGAGTGGTAGACTGTGCAGACATTAATGAAGCACAGAGAGACACACAGAAACAGGTGGGTCACCTGTAAGCTTCACGTGCTTCTCCTCTTCTGTGCTCTTCAGGGCGTTTTCCAGGATCTGGGCCGTGCAGATGATCACGTCACTGCTCTTCACCACCACGCTGAAGAAGTCCTTCTCTGCACTTTCTCCACTAATGGGCACAACTTTGTACTGAGAGCCGAGGAAAGGATGGAACTCCTTCGAGAAATGCTGGTCCACCAGATGAACCTAAGATAGATCAAAGCAATAAATGACAACAAACTTTTTGTAGAACAGAAGAAATTCTTACTAGTTTATTGCATTACACTTAATTTGCATATGTTCTAATGTCAAATTGTGTTTCTTTTTTTGTTCTGAGCAAAAGCTTTCAGTATTTCTTGTGACTGCCTTAGACTATTGCACAGTATTGTATATTACTGTATGTAATATGACGGACATATTTACAGATGCTTGGAGACACACAGGCGTGAGGATGCCTGCTTGTGTAGAGTCGCAGCCTAACCTTATTGACTAAGACAGCCACCTTGGCCTCACGTTTGCTCTCCAGATGCCTCTTGGCCACATACACGGCTGCTCTCGTCTTCCCTCCTCCTGTGGGCAGCCAGATGATGATGTTTCTTCCGTCCAGGGCTGGCCGCACCACCTCCGCCTGATACCCATACAGCTGTATCTCCTCCATCTCACTGTGGCCAAACGAAAAAAACGGAACGCAGTAACGCAGCAGCCGGCAACGCGTGCGCATGCACGCCGGCTCTTAATAGTAATTAAAATAACCAGATATCATCTACACCAGTGGTTCGCACACTTTTTTTTCTGCAACGCTTCTAAAAAAACACTGGTCTCGCGACACCTTTTGATACGACATTCGCCGAGCCGGGTCGCGAGGGGTGGGGGGGGGGCGTCCCTGATGGCAGAAATAGCGAACGATAAAACCTGTATGGCAGGAGCATGGGGTGTCGACGGAACACGATTTATCAGTTTGTTCAGCGTATTCTGGAAATCATCTCGTGACACATCCCAACTATTTTGCTACTTCCTTGTCACCACACTATCTTGATCAGGGGTCACCAACATAGTGCCCGCGGGCACCAGGACGCCCCCAAGGACCACATGAGTGGCCCCCGGACCTGTTCTAAAAATAGCACAACTCACCAGTGAGCAGTGTCTAAAATTTAATTTTATCCTGTTGCTTTTCTTATTTAATCATATTTACATTTATATAGATTTGAAAATGACAATATCTTTAAAAAAGCATTTAAAACATGTTTATTATACATGAAATTTATTATATGATAAGTTTAGGAGGGCGTTTCAAACTGGTAACCCTTCGTACAGTATAGCTCAGCACCCGTGAAGTAGGTCAGTCTCAAAAAGGTTGGTGACCCCTGGTCTTGATTCTTTCATCTCACCTTGAACCTTGAAGGGTTGATTAATGAACTTCTTTCTGGAAATTGCTCCTCCGAACAGTCACCGCAGTGTAATATTAGTATATGGCAGAAATCAGCTATACTGTCGCCTAGAAGATAAACAGACCGACACAGCTAAACAACGCGTTTAAACAACCCGTTTAAACATAAAAACATAAACATATACTTTATAAATACATACCAGACATACAACATGGACTGACAATACCCCGCAGCGAATCGTTATACTGTAATTAAGCTGCATATTCATTCATAAGACTGAGTGAAACTCAAAAAGCATCAACACTGCTGAAGAACAAGATGCATTAGGAATGGTCAAAATTAGCCTTACGTCGATCTTACCAACACTACTTTAAAATTCAGTGTCACCGTTCCTCTCACCCGATGGTTTTGTGTACAAAGAAAATGCATCTTCCTAATATACACTTCGACTCATGTGACTTCAAATGTCAAGAACAGAAAACGAAAATGAAATCTCGGTTAACAGCATAGAAAAGTACGCGGTGGCCCTGCTTAAGGGGGTCTAAGACAAACGACGACAGAAGACGCCCCAGACCACGCCACCTACGGTTCGTCAAACTGTCCATACTCGGACAAACGAAGACTCTTCTGTTTCCGTGGCAAAATGGTTTGAATGCAAAAAAACATATAGACTACGTTTTTATAATTCATTTCCGTTGTAAAAAAATTAAAATGCCTGTTAGAATTCGCCAAGGCGTGGTGTAGCAGTGCAAGTGGCTTAACAAGTGCACTAAAATTTCTGTAAATACATATATACATATATAACACATGCTGACACCTAGCGGCCGGCTAGTGAAGACTTATTTGGTCGGATTACCGGCATGCTTTGCGATGCGCCGAACTTGTAACTAGATGCATGTATTTCTGTTAATGACACTCTTGCGTGCGCTGTTGCTAATTTGCGCATTGGTCACGTGTTTGTGGTGATACTGGCGCGAGCAAACCTACTGCGCTGCCGATGGTATAGAAGTATAGCATATACGATTACGTATATATACATATAAGTATTCACTAAGAAAATATTATCATTGAGTTGGCCTGTAATATATTGTAGACTTGATCTAAGTGACCATATAAAGACATGGTGTATAGGCCCAAGGATCTAGGACATTCAGAGCGCGAGAACAAAACATACCTATCAATGATTGTAGTCCTATATCAGACAAAATTAGGTTATCATATGGATCAGTTCTTTTTTACATATATGTTTAGTTGTATAAATGGACTCTAAACAGTGTTACTCGTTTTAAATGATGAAATCTTAGTAATTAAAACATTTATTTAAAAATCTTTCTTACATCACATCCTTTCGTGGTGTTACTATTGTATGTGTGCCCTTCGGATGCCACTGGATGGTTCCCATATATAACCAGATGCGAAACCCCCTCAAAGGGCCCCCCTCTTTCAACAATGACGTTGGAAAAAGGAAACCAACAGCAAGGCCAGATAGAAAAAAAACAATAACAAGAAACTGAAACTTTGAAGATAATTTACAAATCATATTCTACATTTCTACTCAGGGCTTAACATTTAGAGGGAGATCTACAATTGAGTTCCTTGCCACCTCCAAATACTCTGTGGTACAATGTTCGAGGTCTGCCTCACTTGTCAGTCAAGGTCCTCTTTCCAGCCTGAACTAGGAGAATTTCTATAGTGTGTTGACACTCGTAACAGCTACTAGATAATGATATAAGCAGTGAGAGAAAGAGGGAAATCATGAGAGTTTTGTTTTGCAAATGATTCTTAAGGCAGTTCAAATGTGGACAAAAGTATTGAGACACACCTCTCAATAATTGAATTCAGGTGTTTCATTCAGCCCCATTGCCACATGAGAATAAAATCAAGCACCTAGCCATGCAGTCAGGTTTACAAACATTTGTGAAAGAATGGGTCATTCAGAAGAGCTCAGTGAATTCAAGCGTGGTACTGACATAGGAGGCCACCTTTGCGATAAGTCAGTTCATGAAATTTCTTCGCAGTTAGATATTCCACGGTGAACTGTAAGTGGTATTACTGTAAATTGGAATCATTTAGGAACAACAGAAACTCTAGACCACGTAAAGTAACAGAGCAGGGTTGCTGAGTTTGGAGGCACATAGTGCATAGAAGTTGCTAACGCTCTTGACTCAACTGCAGAGTTCCAGACGTCCTCTGGCATTAACTCCAGCACAAAAACAGTGCACTGGGAGCTTCATGGATTGGGCTTCCATGGCCGAGCAGCTGCATGCAATCCTCACATCACCAAGTGCAGTGCCAAGAGTCAGATGCAGTGGTGTATAGCCCAGTGCTACTGGACTCTGGAGCAGTGGAAACATTTTCTGTGAAGTGATGAATCACACTTCGTTGTCTGGCAGTCTGATGAACAAATCTGGGTTTGGTGGATGCTAGGAGAATGCTACCTGCCTGACTGCATTGTGCCAGCTGTAAAGTTATGGTGGGGGAGGGAAAATGGTATGGGGTGTTTTTCAGGGGTTGGGGCCCTTAGTTCCAGTGAGGGGAACTGCTAATGCTTCAGCATACCAAGACATTGTGGACAATTCTATGCTTCCAACTCTGTGGGAACAGTTTGAGGAAGGCCCTTATCTGTTCAAGCATGACTGTGCCCCAGTGCACAAAGTAAGGTCCATAAAAACATGTTTCGGTGAGGAAGAACTTGACTGTCCTGCACAAAGCCTCAGCTGCTGTATTTAACCCATATGTGATATAGCAGGGGGGCAGCTAATTCAGCACCTAGGGAGCAGTGCTTAGGGGGGGGGGGGTACCTTGCTGGTTAAGGATTTGAACCAGCAATCTTTCAATTACAAGTGCACTTCCCTAACCATTAAGCCACCACTGCCCCCATGAAGAAGCCAGTATGGAAAATATACTGGGTTTATTTACTAATGGGTCTGTGTATAACATATACAAAAATATGCAAAACAGGGAAACAAATGTGAAATAAACCCTAGACACATTCAAATTCAATTGAGTAAGTGATGGCATGTTTAGACGTGTGAGGACAAAAGAAGTTTGCCTGATGCCCATCCTGAGAATGGATACAGGCAGGTAAAACCTGAAAACTCACAGGTTAGTGTTAATAAATCAGATTGTTTTATGCCAATGTTAAATAAAGACACACAAAAAAATCAAGTCATTATCTTTAATGGCTTTTAACATGTGGCTACTGGGGTTACTCTGAGCTGATGAGTGGGCATTTCCACGGCAACTTTCTGCCATCGATTGTAGGGTAAAATCTGATGAAATCTCCTTCAGGTTTCAAGCATTATTTGGGGACCAGTTTAATGGTTTTTTTTTGTAGACTTCTATCAGAAAACCGAGGGTGCGATTGCTTGATATTTTTGGTCAAACGACTGGAATCTTGATTTTCAGTGCAGTTTTTGAAAGAAAAAACGACAAGGTGCAGATTGGTGAAACGAGTAAGAAATCTTTATTTTTCGTGTGAAAACATTTAACGTGACACTTCTGGACAGAAATCAGCTCAGCGTCGGCCTTCCGCTTTGCGGACACGCGTGGAAAGGCTCCCCGCGTGCAGCCCGGCGCCGGACCCGCGACACGAGCTCCACGCTGGCAGGAATAAGACGTCCCGGCTTCTAAAGATATTGCCTGTGTGCCAGAAACAAAAAACAACAGAAACTAAACAGCCCTGTGCTTTTATAGATAACTCAGCTTATAAGAACATGCTTAATAAAGTCAACAGCCACTATAGTAAAGGGTTCTGAATTAGTAATCAGAGAAACATTAAGGTTTCTATTATTGTTACTTCACCGTTGAATTGACCTGAAGAGGGATTGCTAAATGTGTTGCTTCAGATTAACTTGGGCTCACATATATTTTTTTTTTCAAAAGAACAAAGCAGCTTAAAATAAAAAGGACAGGAATTGTATGTTGGTATGAAAGTGTGACTCGTCTTCATTTATACTTTATAATTACGGGTCCAATAACATCGGCGTTACTTGTAAGCACCATTAGCACGATAGTTTGCATTCGTTTGTCTTTAACAGACATACTTTTTTTTCAAATTTAAAACGCAATAACGTCTGACAAGCTGACATTAAAAGTCAGTAAACATGAAATATCATTATTCATTATTTTTGTTCGTATTTTTACCTTTGACCTAGCGGTCCGACATCAGTTCTGCTACCGGTGTCATTACGGGCTTCTATCACTAGGTGGCAGCATGAGATAAGGGATCCACTTTCAGTCCTTAGAGGTATTTCTGCGTATCCGGTCTCCATGCGCAAATCGCCGCTTAGGGTCTCTCCTTTTACACCAGTGGTTCCCAACCCAATCCTCAGGGACTCCAGCTGAGAGGGAGCAAAAATGTGGACTGTCTGGGATCCCTGAGGACTGGGTTGGGAACCACTGCTTTACACGATCCAGTCATTTTTGTACCTAATCTCATCTTCGAGTAACCGTCTGATCGAAGGGAGCCTGATCACAGAACACAGCAGGTGAGAGGGACTGAATAAGATTAATTTGTTTCGATTTTAAATGACATAGCACTAGCAAGAAGCAGACCAAATACAGCTTGATACCTCCCCCAACATTTATTAATAAAAGAATTAGAAACCCACCCCAATACGATGGGACACCTCTCCTCTCATATACAGGCAGATCTCAGTGTGCCACCCACCTAATGACAAATCCCCCTCCCAGTAATGGAAAGACGTCGCTCCAATTCGTTACTGCCCTCGATAAAATCACCAGCGACAGCAAACACTGGTAAAAAAAATAATACCTCCCAAATTATTAAAAAGAAAACGCGTCTGAAAAGTGACAAGTGACTGACAATTAGTGGACTCAACACTGTAAACCTTCCATAGAAAATGATATCCATTAAAAAAAATCCAACACAAAGAGATGACAAAGGTGTATTATATTGGGAAGGCATTGTATTGATACAAGTACTGATTGGTTACATGCCTGAGGAAGACGGAAAAAAAACATGTACAATGCAAATTCAACACTTTTCAACAATCATTGTGATTTTGGTCATGAAAATTTCCAGGTTCCAATTTTGGTCAGGTTTCCATATTTCTTATGTTTTTCTTTTGTAATTGTGTCTTATTTTTAGATCCAAAAACATTAATGCTTCAAAACAAACAAGAAAAAAAAATTAAAAATCACAAGCGTAATGATGACAATACACGCTATATATACTTGGATATCCTTTATATAAATTAACAGAAGCCATAATGATGTTTATCCTGTGTTAAAACAGTATAAACAAAAAAAAAACAACAATATAATAACCAGATCAAGGATGAAGAGACCTCTCTCCACTCCCCGGTTTTGGTGGGAGCGGTATTTATGGGACACACAGGGTGAAAATGTAAAATGCTACTTGTACCCACCACCTGAAAGGACGATAAGGATTTAAAAAGTGACATAAGACATGACTGAATTAGTACTGAGAGTGAGTGAAAACAGACAAGAGCCTTTCAACAACTCCCCCAACTCCAGTTTTAGAAACATAGGGGAAGGGAAAGCTAGCTTCAGTGTGTGATTGGTCAGAATCATTCCTGTATTTCTCCAGATGATTTTGCTTTGGGTGGTTTTGGTTGATGGTCATTGGTTCGTCTGCTGATTAGCGGCCCGCCCTGTTTCTTGGACGCTCGTTACTTGCAGCACGAACCCTCCGTGGCTTGCGGCGTGGCGTCCTGCAGATTTACAACGGGCCTGTTCCCCCGGCTACTCGCTGCCCCGCTCTGCGGCTCGTGCTTCGGCAGCTTCTTGGCTGCAGGGAGGCATGTGGGACAGAGAAGTGTGAGGCTCGTGTTTGTGGCAACATTGGAGATCTTACCAGCAGATGGGGCCATTGTTAAATCTAATTCGGCCTGTCTCTAATTACGGCGCAATCTTTACAGAGAAGACCCAGAAACAAGAATCAAAAACAAGATGTCTTCCACAAATTCAAACATATTTTGTGTTCTGGATAATAAATGTATATCGTGTTCATCTAGCAAGGCTTTATGTGGGTTTTAGGACTAAATACAGACGCACACACTCATACCTATGGCCATGAAAATTTCATTGACGTTCATGGCAGTTTTGGCTGAAGTCTCCATGAACAGCAAACTGTTGTCATCTGCGTACGCTTGTGCTTCCTGTGCAGGGAGTTAGGTTAGCACAACACCAGCTTCACAGCAGTGGTAGCAATAAACATCCTACACAGATATCACAGATATTGTCCATCACATAATATTCTAGGGCTTGCAATTATTACAATTACCTAACCACCATTCAGAACCTTCTCCCGTCAATCGATCCACTGGCCACATTTTTATCATAATCAGTTCTGAAAAACTCACACGGCAATTTACGGGGACGATAAAAACAAAAAGAATAAAACAGCTTAGAGCAAAGGAGCTGATAAGGGTTTCCTGTGTTTCTCCCGATTAACGTGAAGTATTAATAGGATATCCAGCAGTTGTCTGGGGTTTTATTTATCCTTATGTACTGTTATCGTCCGGGGTTCTACCTGGAACTCCACGGCCCTCTTATTGGACAGGTCGGCTTTGTTTCCAGCCAGTGCGATGACGATGTTGGGGCTGGCTTGTCGCTGGAGCTCCTTCACCCAATTCTTTGCACGCGCAAACGTGTCCTAGCCAAAGCAAATCAACGTTTCAACAGCTGAGCCGCCATGACCACAGACATTAGTTCGGCAACCCAAGAAGGACTGAAACGGACTTCATGGACCGCTGCGATATTCCCCATTGCGTTAGATTTGTCAGCATGTCGTTAGGAATCGTTCAGCAGAAAGGCGCCCAACGTACTGTGTTGGTGATGTCATACACCACAATGGCCGCCTGAGCTCCTCTGTAGTACATGGGTGCCAAGCTGTGGTACCGCTCCTGGCCGGCTGTGTCCCAGATCTCGAACTTTACCGTCGTGTCGTCCAAGCAAACCGTCTGTGTGAGGAAGGCGGCTACGAGGGAAGATGGAAAGATTAACGAAATCCATAAGTGCTCAAAAAGGTCATTGTTTTACCCCACAATCTTCGTCAGCACGCCACTTTCCCCAGCCGAACCTTTTACCCCACACTTGTGACCTCACAAACCATGTGCTTTGATCTCGATGCGGCAGTGGCGAACGATGACCATGCACTTTGCTTACCATGAAGCCCTTATTCTCACATGCGTTTCACGTTCCAATCAACCCCTATCCCAGACACACACACAGTTACAAGACATTGTCACATATCTGTACAGTTAAATAGGAAACTTAGTACAAATATAGATGTTCTTAGAGGAAGAATGCTATAAAAATTGAGAGGGAAAAGGGGACTAACTAATATCACTGCTCACAGAATGTTACTCAAAGCAAAGGCATCCTTTGGCACCAACATACAATGCAACTACAAACGCAAGATTAACTGGTCAAACTACAACTTGCAGGGAGGAACTACTTCTAAGGACTAACAATATAAACGTGAATCTTATAACTGATCATACAAACAAACAAACCAGGATATTGTCGCTGTCTGATGAAAACTGCATATGTCCACTTCCTGACAATTGTGACTTTTTACTGTAGCTGGAATACACCCATTCTCCTGTCTACCAATAGCGTTTGACATCTAATTGAACCAATGCAAAGATGTTTTTGAAGTCATCTATTTAATTAGTATTTATATTTATGCTATTTAAAATTTGTACCCATTATGGTACAGTTGGGGTTTGATTGGCGTGGCGTCTCTCACTGCGAGAGCTGGGGTTTGATTGGCGTGGCGTCTCTCACTGCGAGAGCTGGGGTTTGATTAGCGTGGCGTCTCTCACTGCGA